CATCATTTCATAATCTTTGGAGCAAAGAACAGGGATGCACCAAAAAATCACTTTGATTAATGTTAGGGCAGGATGCTTTTGATGTTAATAAGGATGTATTGCCTGTTTGAAGTAGGTAGGTGTGAATGAAGAGTAATGTGAGTTTAGAAAGAAAGTGAGTCTGAAGAAAACATCAGGAGGAGCGAAGCTGATCGATGTGCATTCATTAGTTGTCTGGTTTTTGATTTCGTTTCAAAAAAGGATTTTTTATAGTTGAGAATAACGCTAAGAATTATTTTCGGAGGACGGTTTTGCAACACTATGACAGATTAATCTTCTTTTTCAATTCAAATTGGAGGCAGGTATATGTTTTAAATAAGTGCGCAATTGAACAATCATCCAGTAAACCTATAACTTCATCCAGTTCATCTTACAATAAATAGAAGTGTGAGTCATGATAGTAGCAGGGTGATTATTTTGGAAACGTACCACGTTTACATTGACTTTATCCAGATTGTTCGAGAGTAACAGCACTAGTACAACTTGGGCGAATATTACGTTTAAAAATTTTTAAAATAACGCCTTAGTGGTCTTTTAGACCTGTGGAAATCCCATTTCCCAACAGAACAGTCCTTTTGTACGCATTTTCACCATTTTTTAGGGAAACACTTTCATGAGCTGGTACCGTCAGATTAGATTCTATATGCGTAGAGATACAAAATCACTAACTGACACAAAGTTTCAAATGTTAAGTGCGCTTTCAGGGAAATTTTTAAAAAAATCGTTGTTTCCAAAAAGTTAAAATAGACACTTGTACTTGTATTTTCTTTTCTTCTCTTTTTTTCATGTTATATCTTCTCTCTAGTCAGACTGTATTCATAATATATAGGGTATACCATTGTTTCGGTTAATTAATTAATTTTCTTAAAACTCAGTTTTCTGGAATGGTTGCCACTTAAGATGACTTGTTTTGACAGTTTAGGCCAAAACCAGCAGGTAAAAGTACAACATACAAAAATTAATTTTTCAATTTTCCTTCTGATCATTCCTGAAGGGACCAAGGCCGACTTTTTGGGTGAAAAGTGGTAGTAATGCAAAACATATGAAATATATGTCATTCAGCTCTATTTTTCACGCGCATTCCGAACATGACACTTGCTTTTGTCTGAAAGCCTGTTCATCAGCTTTGGTCGATTTTCAAAAATGTTTGAGCTTTTCTAATATTTCTAATATCATATGCGGATTCAGCATAAAATTCTACATCTGAATCACTATCTATTTTAGTTTGTCGATGCTTCCTCGGCTAGGGGACCTGGAAATACCGTTTTTGGCGGAAAACGAGAAGAATGAGGTAAATTGAAGATTACGCCTTATCAAACCATTTCGGACACTTCTGATACGGATATTCGTGCTCAGCGTCGATTACATATTACCAGGTGGGTTTGGAAAACATCAAAAATGAAAAGTTCTCCAGAAATCCTAGAGGGGCCCTCAGGCCTCAAAAACCTGACCGAGAGATTTCGCGAAGCTAAGTCTGGAAATGTTTCTGAGCATCCCTGACATGGTTCCAACGCAAGAAAAACAAAAATTTTAGGGACAAGGAAAGGGTCTTATCGGCCCTACTCCTTTACTGGTATCATTTCAACGTTGATAGTCTTCTTTCTCTTACAGTTCCAAATGCATGTAAATCAGGTGTTACGTCTGCTGCGTTCACTAAATATGATGCCTTGTGTGTGTTTGCTGCTGTTTCTAAACCAGCTATTATAGCAATTGTAGAGTCTTGACTAACATTAAATACGGACAACAGCGTTTAGAAAATGCTAAAAAATCAAGATCTGGAATTCCAACGGAAACTTTTTGTAGCTCATTCGTGTAGAGCCAACATTTCTAGACAAAACTAAACGTCGTCCAACTCCACGTCAAAATCAAACAAAATCGCTAGAAAAAGAGCAAAAGTGATAGTGAAAACGAACGAGAGGCCATTCATAAACTGAATGCAGTTTGATCAAAAAACATCGTGGAGAGTTCAGCGATGTCTGATTTTGTTCAGAAATGTTTGCTCTACACGAATGAGCTATTTACCAAAAAATTTTGTTAAAATTCAGGATTCTTTTGAGTTTTCTAAAATCTTAGTTCACCACGATCCAGGTTTGTAGGAGTTTTGTATACACCTCATATGATTCGAAACCCTTTCAACTATTCAAATCGCTTTTCCGATATGTTCTCTCTATTACGGTCGGGCAGAAAATTCAAAAAATGAATCGTCTTTATAGTTTTGCACAGGATTGTAAATGTATTTTCTTTTGCTTTCTGTTTTGTTCGTCTCGCTCATTAAGTCGACTGAGTGGACGATAGGAGACTTATTGCTGGGGATGGGACAATTCCAGTTCCTAAAGTTCTTGAGAACTGGTGGAAAGAACTAGCTAGTCGTTCTTGTTCTAACTATTGAACGTTCTTTTCAAACGAGCGCGAACTGGTTATCAATTCTATTCAAGAATTCAAAGTAAAATTAAACCGGCGAACGTTTAGTGGACTAAACAAAGTCAGTGTAACTAGGTTTCCCGGTTTTATTTTACTTTGAATTCTTGAATAGAATTGATAACCAGTTCGCGTTCTTTTGAAAGGAGCATTCAGCAGTTCCCGTTCTTTGAACGAGAAGGGCTAACCAGTTATCGTTCGAAAGAACTGAACTGGAACTGCCCCATCCCTACTTATTATTCACCCAGGCTTTGCCTAGTAAAATTCCTTTCTTTCTGTTTTCCCGTTTGAGTCAGCCACCCGTTCTCGGTTATCTCTGGCGATACACATTTGGAGAAAAGATGATTCGAAAGTAGAAGAGTTGTCGATGACACAACCGAAGTTAGTTTTAGGATATTTGCTTTAGTTATCCTATAATTAGTGCCATAAAATGAGTATATTTTTTAGAATACTGTCGTTTTTCTTATGAGATAATTGATCGTCGCGTGGTTTACTTCATAGTGAATACAATACTATAGTGCCTGACACGACAAAAGCTATAGTCAATCGGATAATACGATAATGGATCAGCTGAGATAGTAATATACATTCTTCTTGAAAAACGTTAAATTGTTATAACTTTCTGAATGTTCTAATTTCCTCTGTTTACCGTTTCACTCAGTTGACTCCACAGGACAGTTGGCTCTCTAGTATAGAAAATGATATTTAGCCGCCAGTCCCACTTAATTATTTCTGTGAAAAAGACCAATGTCTTTAAAAAAGTGTGTCAAGTGTAGGCGCTAATTATAAGATAATTAAATTATATATCGAAAAAATTACTTCAGATGTTTCACCTACAACTGCTCCTCTTTTTCCCGAACATTTACTATTAGTGATAGCTGCAAACAAGTGGCTGATTAAAAGCAAAATGGAGTGCCTAGAAGAAAAAAGAATTTTCCGACAATTCAGATTAAAGAATGGGGAAAACCTGCTCGAAAAAGATATCCTCGAAAATAAGTTCTTTGAATGAAGTTTACTCGAACAGAACCGTTCGAATTTTTCAAACAGAAATTATCAATATTATTTGTAGTGTATAGAACTTCCTTAAAGTTTCGGTTATACATGTTTGTACCGGTTTATAAGAGAAAATAAGACTATAACCCATTTTAAAAGTCACTTTGATACATTGATACAAAGACGAGAAATAAGTAATAATACGAGTTGATGAAAAGGAAAACAGATGACAGAACAGCTAAAATAATCAACTATTAGCATTAATTAAGGCTTAATTAATTAATAAAATTATAAAAATAGAATAAAAACAGAAATCAACAAACAGACCACATGATAATCACACGTTAGACAATGCGATATATAAACCTCTATATATTTTATACATTTTACACTTGAAACCATCTATTTGTAAAGACATTCATTATTCCAATATAGAACAACAAGCGTTTTCTAGCGTTTTGGCTAGATATGAAATTTGAAAAGCCTGTTTCACTTTTTCAAAATTTATAAGATAGTTTCTTGGACACGTAAAACTCGTTTCGTAGACTGAAGTCGTGAAACTAGGCATTTCTATAACAAATAATGAGTGAATAACGCATTTTTAATGCAATGCAACGCGACACACGCGAAATTGGCTCAAGAACAGCGAAAAAATGAATTATTTTATAAAAAGCAAGAAAAATGTGAGTTTAACTTTAAAGTATCGTACGATACTCTGTTTAAGAAAAATTTAGCGCGTTTAACGTAACCTATGGTTACGTCAAACGTGATTCTCGCGCTTTTCTTTTTCAAAAGGATTTCTAACGGTAAAGTTTTCATAAACAAAGTTTCGTGCGATATTTCGACGCTAAACTCGCGTTTTTTCGCGCTCTTTTTAGATGAATATGACTGACTGAGTACTTATTTCGGGATAGAAACATATTCAAGAATTTCTGAGACTACCATTGGATTCCTCTTAAAAAGTTGCTTCGGGAAACTTAGCCTTTAATTATATCAGATATACTATGGGGACTTTGGTTTTTTTCTATATAAATCAGGGCTCTACCATCAATGCAGCGCGACAAACAAAGAGATTGGCTCAAGTACTGCGAGAAACGACTTTTCTAAAAAAGCGCGAAAAAACGCGTTTAGCTTCAGAGTATCGTGCGACACTCTGTTTACGAAAAATTTAGCGCATTTAACGCAATCTATGATTACCTCAAACGTGATTCTCGCGCTTTTTTTTTCAGAAGAATTCCTCACGGTAAAGTTTTCATAAACAGAGTGTCGCACGATATTTGAAGCTAAAACCACGTTAAAAACAACTTTCAAAATATATAGATGACTGACTGGGTAATTAAAAACTTGAAATAACAAGAAAAAAATGTTCCGTTGAGTTTCTAATCAGTTCCGAAAATATGAAGCCTTAGTGACTTTTAGTTTTTCTTTCACAGCATTTCTACGGAAAGTCCAAAAAGAGGGGATGGATACCCTTAAATCCAAAAGAATTATGTAAGATTTCATAGATTATTTTAATAAAAACCTTGTTACCAATCTAGTATGAAACACTGTTACTGATTAATACATGGGTTTTTTAAATGATATTCCATCAGTTGAATACCGCTTATATATAACCAAAAATAGGAAATGATACTGAATATATGCCATATTTGATGACTCGAAGCAAAAATATCGAAACGACCAGGAAAAAAACGTTCAGGTGTCTTTGTACGATAAAATAAAATGCCAATTCCAACTACCGTGTAGTATACAAACATGTTTACACAAAAATACTGTATAAATTCTTGTTCCCATCCACCATATAAATACACACAATGAATTATAGGTAATATACCTGCCATGGGCACACTAATAAATAACATACTGTTAAATTGTGGTTGTTTTAAATAATAGACAATAACACATAGAATAATAAGAGCAATTATTAACTGATAAAAAATTCTAGTGTAAGTAAAACATTTAAACATCCATTGAAAGTTCCAAATATATCCTCCAAATATGGCAATAGCAATTCCTAATATGTCACATTTTAGACAAAGGTGATATGCTTTCGACGAACAACAATTAAACATATGAAATATTGTAGAAGCTAATGTACAAAATATTACAGAAAATGTATAAAACAATATAACAATAAAATCATCTAATTTGGCAGTTGAAAATTTTTTAAAATCATTAATAAATAGATAGATGAATACAATAGCACACGATAAATGTGTCCAAATATTAAATGTTTCATTATGGAGAAGAAATAAACTAAATAAACAATTTTTAATTGTTAAATCATGTCTATAACTATTTAAAATAAATGAATTTGTTTGTAAATACAATGGAATATCATTATAAGAATATAACTGTTGTTTATTCCATGAAGTTTGTTTGTTTTCGTTTTTGTTGCTATCGTAGCATGGATCTTGTGTTTCAAATGGCATTGTCGAACAACGACTATCTCTTTCCTTAAATTTACGCATTAGTTGAAGTTTTGTTTCTTTGTTTTGTCCTTTTGTTGATGTATCTAGCTCGGACAGTTCTTATCAGCTTTTTTACAGTGGCTAGAAAATAATTTCTTATTGAAAACAACACATCTGGTCTACGTATTTTTTCTCATGTTAAGTAAGTTCTTTGAAATTAAAAGGCTATATTTTTGAAAAAAAACATTTGTTTCTGTTAATCGATGAGAAAAATCGTTTAAATAAATGTTAATAATTTCTTTGCTGCTAAATGTTCTAAGCTGATACAACATTGCCTGCTTTGCTTTATTATATAGAAATAATCGGCCTCAACAGCTGTTCATCCATCTAACATTTTTTTTCCTATTCTTTAACATGTTATTCTTCCTCTTTTATCGACGAATGGTATCTGCAGGCTATGCTACGTGTAGGTAATTGTATGAGAGGTACGCTACTTTATTTTCTTACAGAAATGTGCCGATTCCAGCAATTCTAAAACTCTACTTTTTTTCACCAGAATTTTATAAGCTAAAAAGAAAGGAGAGGTGGCATTAGTTAAGAAAAGTTTTACCCTATTTTATTTGTTTTTCTCATATCCACATACATAAAATGTAGTTCTGAACATTTCTGTCGTCTCATTTTAGAAAATCAGAAATTTTTGATTTTTCGTGCCTAAGGCCCCATTCGATAGACCTTTTCAAGCAGATCAAGAATGTGTAGTCTTTAGTTTTTCGAGACTTTCTTTTCGTGTCGAAAAATCGGATAAACTCGAAGGGTCTAAAAACTCGAAAAAACGACGATGTTCGAAAAAGTCAGATCAAAAACTGAGTCAACTGATGTGTATTTCTATCCGATCCGTCTACTTTAATGTTTTCCGAATTCTCACGTTGAAAAATTACCGAGATTTTCACCCAAAACTGAAAATCAACCGAAAATTTCAAAATACACATCAGTTGACTCAGTTTTTGATCTGATTCCGAATGTGATATTTTTATGGCTGAAAAGTTGAGTTCTGATCGAGAAAATTGAGAACTACGGGCAGAATTCCGACTTTTTCGCCTCTGATTTAGAAAAAATGAATTTTCTCAGCAACGAAACAAAATTTGAAAATAAAAGTTCCAATGACTCATACAAAATCTAGATAGGTTTACAAAAGGACTCACCCTCCTTTTCCAATGGCCCAGTCGAACGTCCATGGTGGACAGGCATTTACCTTCGAAATGGATTTCATATCATTTTTTAATTTAGCTTTTAACGCTGAACAATAAAACAATAGTTTGAACGTTCAGACTAAAAACCCAAGTTGAAAAATCTAACTTTTTCGAACATCGTCGTTTTGTCGAGTTTTTAGATCCTTCGAGTTTATCCGATTTTTCGACATGAAAAGAAAGTCTCGAAAAATTAAAAACTACACATTCTTGATCTGCTTGAAAAGCTCTATCGAATGGTATATAATAAGCTGAACAATAAATTCCACTGTAAGGTTGCATTACGTGCATCTTGCATTTTTCATCGAACAGCGAGTCTTGAAAATGCTTTCTTGGTATGAAGAAGCAGTGCATTTTTCTTTGTCTGATTAATGATTCTCTCAAAGATCCTAATCGACATAGCATTTAATTCTAAACTAGAAATAATTTAAGTAATGCCATCTAAATCACATCTGCGCGAAAAATCAGCAATTCTGATTTCAGTTTATCCAAATTTTAAAAAAACTAGAACAGTAACAATCAAAACTGAGCACATTATAAAATTTCGTCGATTATAACCGACGTTCGGTTATTTGGGTTTCGGTTATAACCGATGTTCGGTTATTTCGGTTAATAACCGAAACCGATGCATGCCTATTCTGAGTACGATTGTCGCCTCAAAATTTCATGAAAATGATTTTGGTGGCCAAAAAAGATGTTTTTCTCCCAACCACCACTTGAGGAAAAAACGATTTGCAACGGATCCCGCTTGAGGTCTATACCTTAAAAGAGTGACTGATTCTATGCAGAACAGTATAGGAAGTCCGAATATAGTAAAAAGGTTTTGAGAAGATGCCTCTGACGTTTGAAATTGACATTTATTTTCCTTACATACTCGTATAAGCTGAAGTATTTGGGAGTTTCATTCATTTACATCATAAAAAGGCCATATTCGAGCAGCCTCCATATGGTTTTCCACTATATCTGAGATTTCTTAGTTCCATTTGTCGTAAGACAATGTCTAACGACACCTGTTTCTTGCAACTGTTCCAACTGTTTATGTCTAATCGACACTAACAGTTGGAATATTCTGACGGGTAGTAAAATTTCTTTGTGCAGTTGAAACTGGATGAACTCTGTTTGATTTACATTTTATAATTTTAAATACTTCTTTACGATAAATAGATGATGTTGCAAAATAAATATAAAAATGTGTTGTAAATATAATGTATACTTCTAACGCAATCACTAGTGATACAAATGATTCAATTATTAATCGTTCAATAGTTTTATTCACAATAGCATATGTTTGAACCGTATATAAAATATTTGCATAATAAATGGCGGCCGAAACAAAAATAATAATAATTTGAATA